CCCCAAAACCCCAAAACCCCAAAACCCCAGGCTAATTTTCATAACTCATTCAACTTTACAGTACAAAGGTTTATTATAGTAAATTAACTTTAATTACTCTTAATTTGATTGATTCTCAAAGACGAATCTTTAATTCAGCTGCTTGAGGAGGTTTATCAATATAGTAATCCTCAGAGTAGTCATCAAACTAGCTTAACCATTTGGTGAAAGCTTTATCAGCGATTTCTCTTTGAGCAATATGTCTAACCAATTACTCTCTAAACTCTTTAACTTCCTAGTGAGCTGCTACATACTTGATGAAGATATCGTTCTTAATATCTCTTTTATTTGCATTATACTTTTCATAGCACACTTTCTCTAGTAATAAACCATCACCTGGAGCTAACGCCACATTAACCACATTATCTCTTTAAGAATTAGGGATGAATTTATCATCAAGATCCCCTCTGAATACTTGTATCATTACTCCAATCATCTTTCTAATTTGATTGTATAGAAAGGATTATCCTTTAAGGAAGAAATGAATAAACTCAATTGCTTTTGGATCTTCTTTGTTTGTTAATTCATTTGTCTCGTAATTTACATACATGAAATCCTCAGCTTTTAAAATCATCATGAATCTTTAAGCAGCCATTTGATGAGCCCTGATCTATTTAGTGTAGTTATGATACTTCTTTGAGCCCATAAACATAGTAAATAGTTACTAAACTCTTTACTTATTCTCATCACTGAGTCTGTATGCATATAGAGATGCGAATTCCTCTTTTGGAATATGATCTATATTTCTGAATAAGTATAAATCCTAGTACTGAGCATCATGGTCATTATCAAAATGCTCCTCATCATCTCCTCCCTCTTTATTTTATCTATGATCCTTTCTGATAATCTTAATGCCAGATGTCTTCTTTTCCTCCTCTTAATTAGTCTCCTAATTTTTACTTTCCTCCCCAGTTTTATTTCCCTTCTGTTTCCTATTTAAGCCAGAACCATACCATCCATCTTTCATGCTTTTGAACATGAAAGTTGGTAGGAAATATGAGTACTCTCTATCATCTGCATTTAGTTTTGTATTGAATCTATTAGTTGGTCTAATGATTGCAAATACCTTAATATCCTCTGGCAATTCTTAATTAAGCTTTTTTCTATATTCCTCATCTTCATTTTCATCTTTACTAATATGAATTTTGCATGAAAAGCAGTTCTATATAGCATGAACTCTCTTATCAGTTCTTGTAGCTCTGTTCCAGCCTATTTTCTTCAAGTCCCCATAATTATAGTCTGAAATAGCTCCTAATCTATACAAGGCCTTTTCAATTTCTTCCTCAACACTTCTAACATCTGGATTTCTAAATACCTTTACTAATTATTTTATTTACTTTTATGATCCACAGAAGTTGCTACCATTATAGCCTACAATTAATGCTACTCTGCATTTTGGCAAGGACATCTTATCATTCTTGCCTTCTTCTGCATCTTCCTTTTTCTCTTAATTGACTTTGCTTTCAACTGCTCCATCTTATTATTGAAGATCGTTATCATTGGGTAATGTACTCTTTCTGTTGACTTCTTTTTCAAGTGAGTCAAGTTCTTGATCTGCTTGTCTTTTCATTTCTATTATTATTAAGCTCTAATCAATATTTATTAAAATAATTTCATCCAATTAAACACTATACTAGCATTAAGGGGTTTTGGGGTTTTGGGGTTTTGGGG